GTTTCATAAATTAATATGAAAAATGACGTCATTGTTTTATATTTAAATAAAGCTTAACAAAATGTGTACTTTTGATTAAAACTAAAATCAAATATTAAAAAGGCATTACAAATAGTATATTATAAATACGAATAAAAAAATCTTCAGTAAATTCGTTACGAAACCATTACGTAAGGTAGACTCTTTCTTTTTGTTTGTTATGTAACATCTACGTTACATATGTTTCATAGAATAAACTTGAAAAATTACGACATTGTTTTTTATTTAAATATAGTTTAACAAAATGTGTACATTTGAAGTGTAAATTATCTAAAAATTACGAAGCAAATTGTTTTTTCCAAAATGTCGCCATCGTCTTTACACCAAATTTTAAAACCGATGCAAATTTTCTGCGCTTGTTTCGGATTTTATTACATAAGACAAAAACGCCTAACAATGCAACAAATAAAAAAGAACGTGTTAAAAATATCTTGGAAGCCGCTAGATGTCTCTGTTTTGTAATATTTCATATATATTTCTCCAAATTATATTAAATATTATTATCGGATTATTACAAAAAGGGTTGAGTGTTTGGACAGGCGAATTTCAGCGGTCGCTCAAATTGTGGAAATTATGGCGGTAAGTAGACAAAAATCATAATAAATAATTTATAAATGATAATAATAAATAATTTATTTATTTTTCAAAATTTTGGAGGCAAATCTGCCTTATAAAATAGCGCTTTCTTAACCTTGTTTCTTGTTAGTGAATGTGTGAAGTGTTTGCTCTACTGTCAGGCTTTACTTTTTTGCTATAATATCTGTTTTGCCTAAAAAATATTTCCATTTTAATAACTTTAAAGATTTATAGAAACTATAAGTCCATTTTCGATTTTATTTTTAGTTTTGCTCGTCAGTAGAGTTCCTTTTTAATTCTAGATTTTTGCTCGTCAGTAGAGTCCCTTTTTAATTCTAGATTAAGTTTGCTCGTCAGTAGAGTCCCTTTTAATTCTAGATTAAGTTTGCTCGTCAGTAGAGTCCATTTTTAAATCTAGATTAAGTTTGCTCGTCAGTAGAGTCTCTTTTTAACTGTAAATTAATTATGCTCGTCAGTAGAGTCCTTTTTTGTAGATTTCCAGAATAAGTTTGCTCGTCAGTAGTCTCTTTTTAACTCTAAATTAAGTTTGCTCCTCAGTAGAGTTTCCTCTTTCTTTAATTTTTAGTTTGCTCGTCAGTAGAGTCCCCCTCCTTTTTCATTTTTAGTTTGATCGTCAGTAGGGTCCCATTTTTCTTCAATTTTAATTTAATTGTCAGTAGAGTCCCTTTTTTTAAATTTTTATATGCTCGTCAATAGAGTCCCTTTCAGTATGCTCGTCAGTATAGTCCTTTTTACCTTCAATTTTAATTTAATCATCACTAGAGTCACTTTGAATTTTATTTTTATTTCGCTCGTCAGTAGAGTCCCCCTCCTTTTTCATTTTTAGTTTGCTCGTCAGTAGAGTACGAGAAAAAAACGCAAACGTTAGAATACGTAGAGAAAAAAGGACTCTACTGGCGAGCAAATTGCTTTTTAAAAGACACGAAAAAGGACTCTACTGACGAGCAATTAAAAACAATTTAGAAGGGACTCTACTGACTAATTGATTTTTAATCTCATAAATTCAGTAGATAAGAAGGGTCTCTGCTGACAAATAAATTGGTTGTCAAAATCATGAAAAGGAGCTGTACTGACGAGCAAATAGCTTCATACTTTTGGACCGGTTCGATTTTTATTTATTTATTTATAACTTCAAAACGAAATGTCCCACCATTTTGCAATATTCAGCAATTTTATAGCCAATTAAATTATCTACAACTTTTATTAACAACAAAAATTGGTATCTCTTGTCCTTTTATCAAAAATTCGGTTTTAAAAAGGTAGTTGCCTAATTTTGGTGGTCACGTCGTACTCATATATCTTACTCTGTCACTCTACACTGTCCGGTATATGTTGCTCTTTTTCGCACTAGGGTTTTATATATATCTCTCTCTCTCTCATTTTCTCCCTATATACTGTTGTCTCTTTTACGTTTAATCAAAACAGACTCTATATGACATCGCGACTTAAGAAGTTTTACTTCAAAAATAAAATTCTATTTTACTAATTTATACATCGCAAACCTAAGAAGTTGAATTCAAATGTAAATCATAAATCAATCAATTTATCTCCAGAACATTAACAATCGTCCGTCATTCCATTTCGAATTCAATTTAAAAAAAAAAAAATAGTTGCCTAATTTACACAAAATTGAAAAAGTGCTTCCGTATAGTCACAGTCTAAACATATTTACAAATAATTCTGTGCGACACTTTCACTTGTACTGTGCTTAGCTTGGCGGCATTTTCACATTTTTCAACAGTTTTCTTTCACCAAATTGGAAAAGTGCTTTCTACATAAACAGTCTAAACGCACTTGGGTAAACATTTGTACCAGAGTGGCGCTTAGACTGTGCTAAGCCTGGGTAATTTTTTGAATTTTTAATCCAAAATTGCAAAAGTATTTTATGAAAAATAAAACAAGATGTAATAATTTTTTATGCTCGAAAGCAATAAAGGAAAAAAAGACTCTACTGACAAGCAAATAAATTGTAAACCTAGAAGACTGAAAAAAGAACTCTACTGACGAGCAAATAAATTATAAATCTACAAGACAAAATAAGGACTCTACTGACAAGCAAAGCCCTAGTCGCGCTTAAAAAAGTTTTACTTCATTAATTTATTAGCATCAAAAATATTATTAAAGCCTTTAAAAGTCATATGCTCGATTAATTAAATGAATGCATTCATTTTGTATATATCTCGATAACTGCACTATTCTGTTACCATAAAATTCTTTCTTGCTTGTTTATATGTAAAATACGCCTGACCGCACAGCAAACAGAATAACATTATCACATATTCACTAACAAGAAACAAGCATAATTTATGATTTCATATTAATTTCCAGGTAATAAGTGTACTACTAGTAGAAATAACCACAACAAAAAATCAGTGTCGATTTACAAAAATTTGCAAAAATTGGCGACCAGCTCTCTGGCGATTACAAAA